CGACTGATAATAATTATGGTGGGCTGTCATGTCACTGTAGATAGCAAAGAAGGAAATTAATTGTGGTCTGAGGCCTGATATGGTGAGGCTAGTGCATATGTTTGATTGACTATATCTCTATTATTATGCAAGATTTTGACTTGAAACTTGGCACATATATTCACAGTAAGTGTTGAAATCTGTGTACATGTGTATTCAGGTTGAAATATTTTTTAATTTTTTTTAATGATTTTGTGTACTTTTTCGAACGTGCGATTTTATGCATGTTGTTGAAATGAGTGAATGCCAGCATCATAATAAGTCATATGAGTTCCAATATGGTAGAATCATGTATCACTACACCTGTCGTGCCTCGTTTGCACTTGGACACTTTTAATATGGCCAACATCAATGCCTTTTTTAAGAAATACAGAGAGTTATTTGCTCGGCATTCAGCCAAAACTGACCAACACGGCACCTGTCAAAACGGCCAATGTCAGCTGTGGTCTAGGGCATGTAAGCCCAGTGGATATGGGGTTTTGAGATACTATTGCCCCATATCCAACAAGTGGCGCACCATAAATGCCCATAGACTCAGCTACATTGTGCATAGGGAAGATTTCGACATAGGTGATTTGGACATCAGCCATTTGTGCCATAATTCCAAATGCACCTATGTCGAACATCTTTCTGCTGAGCCTCATAGCATTAATGCAGAAAGAGTAGCCTGTGTGAACAGGGGTGCATGCAAAGGCCATGCGCCATATGCAGATTGCCTTTTGGCTTTGAAGCTATGAAAAGAGACAACAACAAGCAAAGTAAATGATTAAGATTTTATTCATTAACTGATGTTCAGCACAGTGACAGCTGATTGTTAGCATTGCATATACAAAAAGCATAGCTGTACAGCAACTGTTACCTATTTCAACTCAATTGTTTACACAAAGTCAGTCATAAGCTAGTCATTACCTACAGTATTACTGCACATGTTCATTTCTTTGAATATGAATGGTCAGCTTGTTTGCTAAAACATGGCACAGGGTCAAGTTGACCCTTTTTGTAGTCCCCCCTCTGTTTGTCACTCAGTTTTGACTTTAAATGTTCACTAATTTTGCTCCCATGCTGTACGAGCTTTCTTTTCACAACACTGGGACTTTTCTGGTATTCCTTGTGATAGGCAGCTTCCTTGTCCATTTGTTCAAGTGACCGTACTGCTCGACTTGATAGTTCAACACCAGAGTTTTGGCACTTGTCGATTGCTGATGTCCCGGGGCCATTGTTGAGCCTATGAATAGTCGATGAAGCCCTCCCAATCATATTTCTTGAAAAGTTCACGTTCTTTGGCAAAGAAATACTCATTGATCGGTTCACGGCTTCACATTTCTGTGTGTCTGTGTACAGTTTCATTTGTTCGACAACTTCGACACTCAGCTTCATCTTGAGAATTTCATTCATCAAGTGTTTATCATTGTCATCCATATTGAAATGAGTGATTTTGTTGCAGCCGAGGAACATGGACCGCTGCCACCAGCTGTTTGTTACACCGCCTCGACACACAACAGAGTACCGGGCACACCTGGAGCAGTCGCCGCTGTAGCACTTGAGGGTTGCTTCGAGCACTCTAGGTAAGATACTACGAAGTGTTTTCATGTCGCCTGCATGATCCTTCATGAGTTCTTTCAGTATCAGGCTGCACCGTGCCTTTACATCCTGACTTAGCACCTTCTTAGCCTCCAATTTCTGTGTACGAGTAGTGCCGGGGAACATATCTGGGTTGAAATCAGCTCTGTAGCATTGCCGAAACTGTCCTTGAGCCAAGTGGGTGGGATCAGCTAGCCTCTGCACCTTCCACATAGGGTCTAACACTTTCAGAGCCTTGTCTATACCATCTGCAGACTTAGAATCCCCATCGGTAGTAGCATACTTAATTAGCACACCCTGTAGCGCAAGCTGATTTCCAATGTCCTCTCCCATATTGAACTCGGAGAACGGAGCGAAGGCCGACATGTTTGCAGTACAGTCTGGGTGCCCCCCTGGACACTTCACATCCATTCCTTTTCCTTTCAGCCAAGCACCAGTCCAGCACAGCTTATTCTGGAATGACGCGCCGATGATGAACTTCTTATCGGTAATAGTTTCGCAGGCTATGCCGATTGCTTGTGATGCATTCTGCCCTGGCTTCTTCCTGCTTGCTATTGTCGTTGAGTTGTATCGGCCATCCATGGCAATATTCATCTCGCATGGCTCAGTACCCCTCTTCCGATTAACTTCCTTTACCAATTCAACTTTTTCAGCCATATCCTGTGTATTCAGTTCAGTAACAGCAATAGCCACCTTGTTGGAGGTCCTCTGCATACTGCTCCTGCATGGGGGCGGAATGTCCATGTTCGCCATCAGTAACCTGGCTCTTGTGTTCCCAATAGGGGTGTCTTGAAGACCCAAGGCAAGTCCTACGTTAGGGGCTGCTGGGTTTGGTCCAGGTTTGCCTGTCTTGATTTCTTTATACAACTTCATTTCAGGTGCTGTGAAGTCACATACAACACATTTCAGTGTCACTTTCCAGCATGCTCCCCATTTTCTCTCCTTGGCTATCTGCAGCTGAGGGTCGTCGCAGTCAGTGGATGTCGAACGATGCAGTCGCAGAGCTGTGTTCCATGCTTCGGCCACCTTTTCATTGTCGACTAGTCGCATACCCTCCAAGTCATCTTTGCTTGACTCTTGTTTCAGGTTTTGCTTGCTGGCCGGAGTAGGCCGCAACAGCCTCACAGAGGTAGAGATGCCCTCACAGTCAGGTGTCGACAGCCCAGTGCCATCCAGCCTAGACTTGGTAACCAGTGAGAAGTCTTCAGCACTCATCCTAGTGACAGTCCTGGGTATCTGGGGTGGAGAGTCACTTTCTGTCTCTTCAGACTCAAGGGTGAGACCTTTGTTCCAGGGAGTGTGGCCCTTGCTGAACTGTGACTTGATTCTCTTGCGATCGCCTTTCATTGTGATTGTCTCGGACAGAACTAATGAGCTCTGAGCACAAGATGTACCTATATACCCCATGACTGTGTAATGTCAATGGCAATGACAAGCGTGTAAATGTATTAGAAACTCTCAAGACATACATATGTCTTGTGCCAGCAGTCCAAATTGCAGTTGAGCTGTACACGCAGTTTGACACCTTGGCGTGTATTGGCCGAGTGTCAGCTGAGAGTGGTCACACCTGGTGACTCGCTGCACTTGATTGGCTGTACACAGCTACCTGTCCCACCAATCATTTTAATGAGTAAAGACAGGGCTTTCATGTGAATAAAAATTTAACAGTTTCAATTTTCATTTTTGTTGAAAAATATGAACTTTAATTCAATTGTTTTGTTAAAAAATGCATGCATGTACCTAAAAATAGGCCAAAAAAAAAAGAATTGATATACCGGACTGAAATTGATGTCTGTTGATAGTATATGTCATGACGAGACAGGAACACTTGCTTGTTTTGTCAATTTCCTTTTGGTTATGGAGTTATGGACAAATTAGAATTGCATTTGAAATGAATTCATGCCAAAAATGTACTCTCAAGTGCTATGGATGCAGCATGATTTCAAATGACTATAAGTCAAGCTGTGTATGAGTTAGGGATTCCAAATTTTCTGTGAGCCTTCAACAGTGTATGGGCTTAGTATTGATGAAGTTGTATTTGAATTGCATACTTTTTTCTGTCCTGATAGGCCTCAGACCACAGTTATCCCCCCTAAGTTTTACCATGAACCGGAAGGAAAATAGGAGAATATAGTACCCAGTTGAAATGGGCTGTTCAGCCAGTGGCAATTTTTTTGGAGTGACTTGTGATAGCTTAAATGAAAGATAAGACATTGTAGTTTGCTGTCAATTTTTTGTAAGCCCCAATCTGTGAAGGTATTGATTCCAGCTTCCCATGATTTGACCCCAAGTTGAAGGCCGCTGTGTGTGTTTCGGCTCGAAACTTCCGGTGAGCATTGTTGACAGTGGTTACTGCGAAAGCAAGGTGGTGGATCCTGGACGTAAGTTTGCGTTTTAAGTGACAAGTGGCAGGTTGGTCAGCATGCAACAGGAGAACAGCCTACGACTGATAATAATTATGGTGGGCTGTCATGTCACTGTAGATAGCAAAGAAGGAAATTAATTGTGGTCTGAGGCCATATTGGATTCCACTCGTCTCATCATTATGGCTTTCCAGGAGTCGACCTCACTGCTGGTCCTGTGGCCCGTGGTCTTCAGATATTGCAGAGGGCATGCTTTTATACATAGGCCGTACTCGTATGCAAGAGTAGATTGATGTATATATATATGACGTAATATTCGTATCTTGCATTCTACAAAAATACCTAAAAAATACAAGGGGTCTGAATTCTACCCCTGTACGTCCACATCAGCGTTTTCAAAATGGGACGGTCAATAGGATTTCTCTGACTGTGAGTGTGTGGGTGGCTAGGATTTTTTCAGAAAATAAATATATTGTCTCCGAAATTGATTGAAAACTAATTATGCTTCCATCTGTTGGACAAAAAGAACATGTCAGCCACCAAAAATACGTTGTTGGAAGGTGGAATTTTGCAAAAATGTTTTATTTAGTCTCATAATTTTAGCTGATTTTGCATTTGTAACTGAAAAATATCTAGTCTCCATACAAAATCCAAGGTCGCCCACTCCCCCTTCCAACAGAACATGAAATGGTCGGCCCCTTAGGCCTAGTATAGTAATAACCAATATGCTTGTCATTTATCTTTCTCTCCTATTAGCTATTTTCTGTGGTCGTCGTTTTTCCAGATTAGAAATCAAACCAAATAAGAACTGTCGCTGCACACGTTGGTATTTACCAGTACCATTTTACTTTTATTTTATCCCTGTAGGCTAGGGAATAATTCCCCAATCCCACTTGGATTATCAGAGATGGGCATTCTTACTAGCCTGCTAGCCCGTGTCAGTCTGTCGAATGTAAAAGGTATTGTGAAGGCTGGTATAATAGAGGGTCGTTATATGGTATTGCTATTCGGCCTAGCAAACGTTTAAGGTTAATGTCTACAAGAGATGATCCATATAAAAGTGAACAAAATTCACCCTGTTTCGAGTAATGGAGGCACGAAAAACAACCAGTTTCACCTGCACAATGTTTTCAAACTGATGTAGGCAACGTTTCAGTTGTAAGTTACAACTTAATCCCGGTGTTCAGACGAAATAAACCCGGCAGTTTCACCCTCGGCAATGCCATTAGGCTTGACCAGGCCGGAAGCTGGCGATGAGCCTCGTTCTGACTCCTCGAACTCCGTAACGTAGTTACCGTTGCCGTTATCGACGTCCCTTCTGTTTTCAACAGAAAAACGATCGCTTTTGCTCCGCTGACCTCTACGTTTTGCTAACTGCTGTATCATTCCAAGTGTTTCTTCTTCCAAGATGAATACAAGGCTTCACATTCAAGGTATTTAAGATCACAATTATTCCACTTAACAGTATTAAGATGTTAAATTAGACGTGAAATTGGTCGTTGTTAGGCAGCTGTATCGGGACTGAAGATGGCGGCCGCCATTTGCAATTGTCTTAACTGAACATTTTAGATGGTAAACTTGACATGTGGTGCTCAGATGAAACCTGTTCGTACATTATAGTGTCGGGCGATGTAGTACAGATGTAAGATAACCTGTATTACGTGAAAAGCAGCTGTTTGGCCCATTTTATTGGTTAAATGTCGTCTTGCAGCACAGCCTGTAACCCTACATACACTTGGAGTTCGAGGTGTCAAAGGGCCGAGGTCGAGTGACATACTGTAGCTGTCAGAAGTCGTAAATTGTGATTTTTTGAACGTAGCCTTCGGCGTACATTTAACTGAGCCTAGCTTTCGTTTTTCTTTTTCAGCTCGGGAGGACATAATTCGCTATTATGGCACTCCTGCGGCTGTGAGTTTGTGGCCGTCTCAGGATGAGGAGTCCGACTGTGTATGTATAAATTTACATGCCCACCCTGTAAATTCTTCCGTCTAGTATAGCTGATTTGTTGCACATTAAGTCTGCCAAGTCCCTATAATAAACTGTGATTCGTTTTCTTTGCAAAAGTATCCCGTATTTCTGTCTGACCTGACTTCCTTTGTCCCTCCCTCCACCCCCTCGATGTGTAGCGTTCCCTGGCTGTGTCCCCTTCCCGTTGTCCCGACCCCCTGAGCGTCTTCACTCCGTTCTGGGCCCGCCCTGTCTACGGTGAGACGCTCCCCGCCCCCGTCACCATCAACCACGCTGATTACTATCCTGCCCCAAGTGACGATGATGACAGTGACTACTGGGTGTACGAGGACGAGGACGACCACAGCTTTGTGGATGACAGAGAGATTCATCCCTTTAGAAAGGCGCTGACGAGAGCGGCTGCCTTCTTTAGGAAGATCTTCTCTTAGACTCCTTTATCCTTTTAATGTCTGAATGTGTGCAAGTGAGTGAATGAATGAGCAGGTTTGTATGTATGTGTGCGTTTGTGTGAGAGTAAATATAAGATTGAATGAGCATGTGTGTGTGTGAGAGAGAGAGAGAGAGATAGAGAGAGAGAGACAGAGAGAGAGAGACTGAATGAATATGTATGTTTGTGTGTGTGTATTGTGTGCGTGTAAGAGTAAATGAAAGATTGAATTATCATGTCTGTCTGTATGCATGTATGTGTGTGTGAGTGTTTGTGTGAGAGTGTGAGAGAGTGAATGAGCATGTATGTATGATGCGTGTATGTATGTGTGAGAGGGAGAGTGTACATTGTGTATATATTTTAGAGATGAGAGTTGGAGTTAATGAACGAGCCTACATGTAAGTGTGTATGAGAGAGAGAGAGAGAGAGAGAGAGAGAGGGAGAGAGAGAGAGAGAGAGACTACCATTCCAGCGTATTTTTGGCGTATTTTTAGGCTCACAGTTTTGGCCCAACTTTCAGTTTCCTTTTGGCAAACCTCTTGGCTTATTAGCATGGCACAAGACCATACTTTCTATACAATTTTGGCCCGTTTTTGGATCTCCCTTGAGGCATATTACTTTCGACTTTCAGTCATCTGAATAAATGTTTCTGTAATCTATACACAAGTTGTTTGTTTTCTCTACAGTGTTTCTTCCTTACAGCTAATAATATCTGGGTGACAGCAGCATCGCAATATTGGCATCTGCCCAAATCCCAGGGTTTCCGAACATGAGACATAAATTCATATGGATATTGTTAAAAAGTGAATGTTGCCCCTATATTGCTGTGCTGCTGTGTCCCAGTTTCATGATCTGCACTTAGCAGAAGATTTCTAAGTAGGTGGGGTTACCTTAAGATCAGACACTTCTAAATGTTTATGTGGCGACAATTGTGACACGGGATATTCTCTGAGGACAGCTCTCTGACACTTTGTTATCTGGAATAATGTTTTTATTCCAATATAATAGCTCATCGTTTCTAATGTAACAATAACTGTGGCTTCCTTTTAAAGGAGTGCGAATGGAGAATTGCCTTCTCTAAAACACAAGTGTCGCCACATGGGATATATTACGAGCACTTCACCCAACTAATAGCAGTAGTCGGACAAGGGGTTGAGAGTGATCTCCCTTCGCCCCAGTCAATATTGGATTCCACTCGTCTCATCATTATGGCTTTACAGGAGTCGACCTCACCGCTGGTCCTTTGGCCCGTGGTCTTCAGATATTGCAGAGGGCATGCTTTTATACATAGGCCGAGGCCAGGCGCAAGTAGAAAGCCTATACTGACACCTACTCATATGCAAGAGTAGATTGATGTATATATATATGACGTAATATTCGTATCTTGCATTCTACAAAAATACCTAAATAATACAAGGGGTCTGAATTCTACCCCTGTACGTCCACATCAGCGTTTTCAAAATGGGACGGTCAATAGGATTTCTCTGACTGTGAGTGTGTGGGTGGCTAGGATTTTTTCAGAAAATAAATATATTGTCTCCGAAATTGATTGAAAACTAATTATGCTTCCATCTGTTGGACAAAAAGAACATGTCAGCCACCAAAAATACGTTGTTGCAAGGTGGGATTTTGAAAAATGTTTTATTTAGTCTCATAATTTTAGCTGATTTTGCATTTGTAGCTGAAAAATATCTAGTCTCCATACAAAATCCAAGGTCGCCCACTCCCCCTTCCAACAGAACATGAAATGGTCGGCCCCTCAGGCCTAGTATAGTAATAACCAATATGCTTGTCATTTATCTTTCTCTCCTATTAGCAATTTTCTGTGGTCGTCGTTTTTCCAGATTAGAAATCAAACCAAATAAGAACTGTCGCTGCACACGTTGGTATTTACCAGTACCATTTAACTTTTATTTTATCCCTGTAGGCTAGGGAATAATTCCCCAATCCTACTTGGATTATCAGAGATGGGCATTCTTACTAGCCTGCTAGCCCGTGTCAGTCTGTCGAATGTAAAAGGTATTGTGAAGGCTGGTATAATAGAGGGTCGTTATATGGTATCGCTATTCGTCCTAGCAAACGTTTAAGGTTAATGTCTACAAGAGATGATCCATATAAAAGTGAACAAAATTCACCCTGTTTCGAGTAATGGAGGCACGAAAAACAACCAGTTTCACCTGCACAATGTTTTCAAACTGATGTAGGCAACGTTTCAGTTGTAAGTTACAACTTAATCCCGGTGTTCAGACGAAATAAACCCGGCAGTTTCACCCTCGGCAATGCCATTAGGCTTGACCAGGCCGGAAGCTGGCGATGAGCCTCGTTCTGACTCTTCGAACTCCGTAACGTAGTTACCGTTGCCGTTATCGACGTCCCTTCTGTTTTCAACAGAAAAACGATCCCTTTTGCTCCGCTGACCTCTACGTTTTGCTAACTGCTGTATCATTCCAAGTGTTTCTTCTTCCAAGATGAATACAAGGCTTCACATTCAAGGTATTTAAGATCACAATTATTCCACTTAACAGTATTAAGATGTTAAATTAGACGTGAAATTGGTCGTTGTTAGGCAGCTGTATCGGGACTGAAGATGGCGGCCGCCATTTGCAATTGTCTTAACTGAACATTTTAGATGGTAAACTTGACATGTGGTGCTCAGATGAAACCTGTTCGTACATTATAGTGTCGGGCGATGTAGTACAGATGTAAGATAACCTGTATTACGTGAAAAACAGCTGTTTGGCCCATTTTATTGGTTAAATGTCGTCTTGCAGCACAGCCTGTAACCCTACATACACTTGGAGTTCGAGGTGTCAAAGGGCCGAGGTCGAGTGACATACTGTAGCTGTCAGAAGTCGTAAATTGTGATTTTTTGAACGTAGCCGTCGGCGTACATTTAACTGAGCCTAGCTTTCGTTTTTCTTTTTCAGCTCGGGAGGACATAATTCGCTATTATGGCACTCCTGCGGCTGTGAGTTTGTGGCCGTCTCAGGATGAGGAGTCCGACTGTGTATGTATAAATTTACATGCCCACCCTGTCAATTCTTCCGTCTAGTATAGCTGATTTGTTGCACATTAAGTCTGCCCAGTCCCTATAATAAACTGTGATTCGTTTTCTTTGCAAAAGTATCCCGTATTTCTGTCTGACCTGACTTCCTTTGTCCCTCCCTCCACCCCCTCGATGTGTAGCGTTCCCTGGCTGTGTCCCCTTCCCGTTGTCCCGACCCCCTGAGCGTCTTCACTCCGTTCTGGGCCCGCCCTGTCTACGGTGAGACGCTCCCCGCCCCCGTCACCATCAACCACGCTGATTACTATCCTGCCCCAAGTGACGATGATGACAGTGACTACTGGGTGTACGAGGACGAGGACGACCACAGCTTTGTGGATGACAGAGAGATTCATCCCTTTAGAAAGGCGCTGACGAGAGCGGCTGCCTTCTTTAGGAAGATCTTCTCTTAGACTCCTTTATCCTTTTAATGTCTGAATGTGTGCAAGTGAGTGAATGAATGAGCAGGTTTGTATGTATGTGTGCGTTTGTGTGAGAGTAAATATAAGATTGAATGAGCATGTGTGTGTGTGTGTGAGAGAGACAGAGAGAGAGAGAGACACAGAGAGAGAGACTGAATGAATATGTATGTTTGTGTGTGTGTATTGTGTGCGTGTAAGAGTAAATGAAAGATTGAATTATCATGTCTGTCTGTATGCATGTATGTGTGTGTGAGTGTTTGTGTGAGAGTGTGAGAGAGTGAATGAGCATGTATGTATGATGCGTGTATGTATGTGTGAGAGGGAGAGTGTATATTGTGTATATATTTTAGAGATGAGAGTTGGAGTTAATGAACGAGCCTACATGTAAGTGTGTATGAGAGAGAAAGAGAGAGAGAGAGAGAGAGAGAGAGAGAGAGAGAGAGAGAGACTACCATTCCAGCGTATTTTTGGCGTATTTTTAGGCTCACAGTTTTGGCCCAACTTTCAGTTTCCTTTTGGCAAACCTCTTGGCTTATTAGCATGGCACAAGACCATACTTTCTATACAATTTTGGCCCGTTTTTGGATCTCCCTTGAGGCATATTACTTTCGACTTTCAGTCATCTGAATAAATGTTTCTGTAATCTATACACAAGTTGTTTGTTTTCTCTACAGTGTTTCTTCCTTACAGCTAATAATATCTGGGTGACAGCAGCATCGCAATATTGGCATCTGCCCAAATCCCAGGGTTTCCGAACATGAGACATAAATTCATATGGATATTGTTAAAAAGTGAATGTTGCCCCTATATTGCTGTGCTGCTGTGTCCCAGTTTCATGATCTGCACTTAGCAGAAGATTTCTAAGTAGGTGGGGTTACCTTAAGATCAGACACTTCTAAATGTTTATGTGGCGACAATTGTGACACGGGATATTCTCTGAGGACAGCTCTCTGACACTTTGTTATCTGGAATAATGTTTTTATTCCAATATAATAGCTCATCGTTTCTAATGTAACAATAACTGTGGCTTCCTTTTAAAGGAGTGCGAATGGAGAATTGCCTTCTCTAAAACACAAGTGTCGCCACATGGGATATATTACGAGCACTTCACCCAACTAATAGCAGTAGTCGGACAAGGGGTTGAGAGTGATCTCCCTTCGCCCCAGTCAATATTGGATTCCACTCGTCTCATCATTATGGCTTTACAGGAGTCGACCTCACCGCTGGTCCTTTGGCCCGTGGTCTTCAGATATTGCAGAGGGCATGCTTTTATACATAGGCCGAGGCCAGGCGCAAGTAGAAAGCCTATACTGACACCTACTCATATGCAAGAGTAGATTGATGTATATATATATGACGTAATATTCGTATCTTGCATTCTACAAAAATACCTAAATAATACAAGGGGTCTGAATTCTACCCCTGTACGTCCACATCAGCGTTTTCAAAATGGGACGGTCAATAGGATTTCTCTGACTGTGAGTGTGTGGGTGGCTAGGATTTTTTCAGAAAATAAATATATTGTCTCCGAAATTGATTGAAAACTAATTATGCTTCCATCTGTTGGACAAAAAGAACATGTCAGCCACCAAAAATACGTTGTTGCAAGGTGGGATTTTGAAAAATGTTTTATTTAGTCTCATAATTTTAGCTGATTTTGCATTTGTAGCTGAAAAATATCTAGTCTCCATACAAAATCCAAGGTCGCCCACTCCCCCTTCCAACAGAACATGAAATGGTCGGCCCCTCAGGCCTAGTATAGTAATAACCAATATGCTTGTCATTTATCTTTCTCTCCTATTAGCAATTTTCTGTGGTCGTCGTTTTTCCAGATTAGAAATCAAACCAAATAAGAACTGTCGCTGCACACGTTGGTATTTACCAGTACCATTTAACTTTTATTTTATCCCTGTAGGCTAGGGAATAATTCCCCAATCCTACTTGGATTATCAGAGATGGGCATTCTTACTAGCCTGCTAGCCCGTGTCAGTCTGTCGAATGTAAAAGGTATTGTGAAGGCTGGTATAATAGAGGGTCGTTATATGGTATCGCTATTCGTCCTAGCAAACGTTTAAGGTTAATGTCTACAAGAGATGATCCATATAAAAGTGAACAAAATTCACCCTGTTTCGAGTAATGGAGGCACGAAAAACAACCAGTTTCACCTGCACAATGTTTTCAAACTGATGTAGGCAACGTTTCAGTTGTAAGTTACAACTTAATCCCGGTGTTCAGACGAAATAAACCCGGCAGTTTCACCCTCGGCAATGCCATTAGGCTTGACCAGGCCGGAAGCTGGCGATGAGCCTCGTTCTGACTCCTCGAACTCCGTAACGTAGTTACCGTTGCCGTTATCGACGTCCCTTCTGTTTTCAACAGAAAAACGATCGCTTTTGCTCCGCTGACCTCTACGTTTTGCTAACTGCTGTATCATTCCAAGTGTTTCTTCTTCCAAGATGAATACAAGGCTTCACATTCAAGGTATTTAAGATCACAATTATTCCACTTAACAGTATTAAGATGTTAAATTAGACGTGAAATTGGTCGTTGTTAGGCAGCTGTATCGGGACTGAAGATGGCGGCCGCCATTTGCAATTGTCTTAACTGAACATTTTAGATGGTAAACTTGACATGTGGTGCTCAGATGAAACCTGTTCGTACATTATAGTGTCGGGCGATGTAGTACAGATGTAAGATAACCTGTATTACGTGAAAAGCAGCTGTTTGGCCCATTTTATTGGTTAAATGTCGTCTTGCAGCACAGCCTGTAACCCTACATACACTTGGAGTTCGAGGTGTCAAAGGGCCGAGGTCGAGTGACATACTGTAGCTGTCAGAAGTCGTAAATTGTGATTTTTTGAACGTAGCCGTCGGCGTACATTTAACTGAGCCTAGCTTTCGTTTTTCTTTTTCAGCTCGGGAGGACATAATTCGCTATTATGGCACTCCTGCGGCTGTGAGTTTGTGGCCGTCTCAGGATGAGGAGTCCGACTGTGTATGTATAAATTTACATGCCCACCCTGTAAATTCTTCCGTCTAGTATAGCTGATTTGTTGCACATTAAGTCTGCCCAGTCCCTATAATAAACTGTGATTCGTTTTCTTTGCAAAAGTATCCCGTATTTCTGTCTGACCTGACTTCCTTTGTCCCTCCCTCCACCCCCTCGATGTGTAGCGTTCCCTGGCTGTGTCCCCTTCCCGTTGTCCCGACCCCCTGAGCGTCTTCACTCCGTTCTGGGCCCGCCCTGTCTACGGTGAGACGCTCCCCGCCCCCGTCACCATCAACCACGCTGATTACTATCCTGCCCCAAGTGACGATGATGACAGTGACTACTGGGTGTACGAGGACGAGGACGACCACAGCTTTGTGGATGACAGAGAGATTCATCCCTTTAGAAAGGCGCTGACGAGAGCGGCTGCCTTCTTTAGGAAGATCTTCTCTTAGACTCCTTTATCCTTTTAATGTCTGAATGTGTGCAAGTAAGTGAATGAATGAGCAGGTTTGTTTGTATGTGTGCGTTTGTGTGAGAGTAAATATAAGATTGAATGAGCATGTGTGTGTGTGTGTGTGAGAGAGAGAGAGACAGAGAGAGAGAGAGAGACTGAATGAATATGTATGTTTGTGTGTGTGTATTGTGTGCGTGTAAGAGTAAATGAAAGATTGAATTATCATGTCTGTCTGTGTGCATGTATGTGTGTATGTGTGTGTGAGTGTTTGTGTGTGAGTGTGAGAGAGTGAATGAGCATGTATGTATGATGTGTGTATGTATGTGTGAGAGGGAGAGTGTATATTGTGTATATATGTTAGAGATGTGAGCTGGAGTGAATGAACGAACCTACATGTATGTGTGTATTAGAGAGAGAGAGAGAGAGAGAGAGAGAGAGAGAGAGAGAGAGAGAGAGAGAGAGACTACCATTCCAGCGTATTTTTGGCGTATTTTTAGGCTCACAGTTTTGGCCCAACTTTCAGTTTCCTTTTGGCAAACCTCTTGGCTTATTAGGATGGCACAAGATCATACTTTCTATACAATTTTGGCCCGTTTTTGGATCTCCCTTGTGGCATATTACTTTCGACTTTCGGTCATCTGAATAAATGTTTTATGTAATGTATACACAAGTTGTTTGTTTTCTCTACAGTGTTTCTTCCTTACAGCTAATAATATCTGGGTGACAGCAGCATCGCAATATTGGCATCTGCCCAAATCCCAGGGTTTACGAACATGAGACATAAATTCATATGGATATTGTTAAAAAGTGAATGTTGCCCCTATATTGCTGTGCTGCTGTGTCCCAGTTTCATGATCTGCACTTAGCAGAAGATTTCTAAGTAGGTGGGGTTACCTTAAGATCAGACACTTCTAAATGTTTATGTGGCGACAATTGTGACACGGGATATTCTCTGAGGACAGCTCTCTGACACTTTGTTATCTGGAATAAATTTTTTATTCCAATATAATAGCTCATCGTTTCTAATGTAACAATAACTGTGGCTTCCTTTTAAAGGAGTGCGAATGGAGAATTGCCTTCTCTAAAACACAAGTGTCGCCACATGGGATATATTACGAGCACTTCACCCAACTAATAGCAGTAGTCGGACAAGGGGTTGAGAGTGATCTCCCTTCGCCCCAGTCAATATTGGATTCCACTCGTCTCATCATTATGGCTTTACAGGAGTCGACCTCACTGCTGGTCCTTTGGCCCTCGGTCTTCAGATATTGCAGAGGGCATGCTTTTATACATAGGTCGAGGCCAGGCGCAAGAAGCAAGCCTATACTGACACCTACTCGTATGCAAGAGTAGATTGATGTATATATATATGACGTAATATTCGTTTCTTGCATTCTACAAAAATACCTAAATAATACAAGGGGTCTGAATTCTACCCCTGTACGTCCACATCAGCGTTTTCAAAATGGGACGGTCAATAGGATTTCTCTGACTGTGAGTGTGTGGGTGGCTAGGATTTTTTCAGAAAATAAATATATTGTCTCCGAAATTGATTGAAAACTAATTATGCTTCCATCTGTTGGACAAAAAGAACATGTCAGCCACCAAAAATACGTTGTTGCAAGGTGGGATTTTGAAAAATGTTTTATTTAGGCTCATAATTTTAGCTGATTTTGCATTTGTAGCTGAAAAATATCTAGTCTCCATACAAAATCCAAGGTCGCCCACTCCCCCTTCCAACAGAACATGAAATGGTCGGCCCCTTAGGCCTAGTATAGTAATAACCAATATGCTTGTCATTTATCTTTCTCTCCTATTAGCAATTTTCTGTGGTCGTCGTTTTTCCAGATTAGAAATCAAACCAAATAAGAACTGTCGCTGCACACGTTGGTATTTACCAGTACCATTTAACTTTTATTTTATCCCTGTAGGCTAGGGAATAATTCCCCAATCCTACTTGGATTATCAGAGATGGGCATTCTTACTAGCCTGCTAGCCCGTGTCAGTCTGTCGAATGTAAAAGGTATTGTGAAGGCTGGTATAATAGAGGGTCGTTATATGGTATCGCTATTCGTCCTAGCAAACGTTTAAGGTTAATGTCTACAAGAGATGATCCATATAAAAGTGAACAAAATTCACCCTGTTTCGAGTAATGGAGGCACGAAAAACAACCAGTTTCACCTGCACAATGTTTTCAAACTGATGTAGGCAACGTTTCAGTTGTAAGTTACAACTAAGAGAGAGAGAGAGAGAGAGAGAGAGAGAGAGAGAGAGAGAGAGAGAGAGAGAGAGAGAGAGAGAGAGAGAGACTACCATTCCAGCGTATTTTTGGCGTATTTTTAGGCTCACAGTTTTGGCCCAACTTTCAGTTTCCTTTTGGCAAACCTCTTGGCTTATTAGGATGGCACAAGATCATACTTTCTATACAATTTTGGCCCGTTTTTGGATCTCCCTTGTGGCATATTACTTTCGACTTTCGGTCATCTGAAAAAATGTTTTATGTAATGTATACACAAGTTGTTTGTTTTCTCTACAGTGTTTCTTCCTTACAGCTAATAATATCTGGGTGACAGCAGCATCGCAATATTGGCATCTGCCCAAATCCCAGGGTTTACGAACATGAGACATAAATTCATATGGATATTGTTAAAAAGTGAATGTTGCCCCTATATTGCTGTGCTGCTGTGTCCCAGTTTCATGATCTGCACTTAGCAGAAGATTTCTAAGTAGGTGGGGTTACCTTAAGATCAGACACTTCTAAATGTTTATGTGGCGACAATTGTGACACGGGATATTCTCTGAGGACAGCTCTCTGACACTTTGTTATCTGGAATAAATTTTTTATTCCAATATAATAGCTCATCGTTTCTAATGTAACAATAACTGTGGCTTCCTTTTAAAGGAGTGCGAATGGAGAATTGCCTTCTCTAAAACACAAGTGTCGCCACATGGGATATATTACGAGCACTTCACCCAACTAATAGCAGTAGTCGGACAAGGGGTTGAGAGTGATCTCCCTTCGCCCCAGTCAATATTGGATTCCACTCGTCTCATCATTATGGCTTTACAGGAGTCGACCTCACTGCTGGTCCTTTGGCCCTCGGTCTTCAGATATTGCAGAGGGCATGCTTTTATACATAGGTCGAGGCCAGGCGCAAGAAGCAAGCCTATACTGACACCTACTCGTATGCAAGAGTAGATTGATGTATATATATATGACGTAATATTCGTTTCTTGCATTCTACAAAAATACCTAAATAATACAAGGGGTCTGAATTCTACCCCTGTACGTCCACATCAGCGTTTTCAAAATGGGACGGTCAATAGGATTTCTCTGACTGTGAGTGTGTGGGTGGCTAGGATTTTTTCAGAAAATAAATATATTGTCTCCGAAATTGATTGAAAACTAATTATGCTTCCATCTGTTGGACAAAAAGAACATGTCAGCCACCAAAAATACGTTGTTGCAAGGTGGGATTTTGAAAAATGTTTTATTTAGGCTCATAATTTTAGCTGATTTTGCATTTGTAGCTGAAAAATATCTAGTCTCCATACAAAATCCAAGGTCGCCCACTCCCCCTTCCAACAGAACATGAAATGGTCGGCCCCTTAGGCCTAGTATAGTAATAACCAATATGCTTGTCATTTATCTTTCTCTCCTATTAGCAATTTTCTGTGGTCGTCGTTTTTCCAGATTAGAAATCAAACCAAATAAGAACTGTCGCTGCACACGTTGGTATTTACCAGTACCATTTAACTTTTATTTTATCCCTGTAGGCTAGGGAATAATTCCCCAATCCTACTTGGATTATCAGAGATGGGCATTCTTACTAGCCTGCTAGCCCGTGTCAGTCTGTCGAATGTAAAAGGTATTGTGAAGGCTGGTATAATAGAGGGTCGTTATATGGTATCGCTATTCGTCCTAGCAAACGTTTAAGGTTAATGTCTACAAGAGATGATCCATATAAAAGTGAACAAAATTCACCCTGTTTCGAGTAATGGAGGCACGAAAAACAACCAGTTTCACCTGCACAATGTTTTCAAACTGATGTAGGCAACGTTTCAGTTGTAAGTTACAACTTAATCCCGGTGTTCAGACGAAATAAACCCGGCAGTTTCACCCTCGGCAATGCCATTAGGCTTGACCAGGCCGGAAGCTGGCGATGAGCCTCGTTCTGACTCCTCGAACTCCGTAACGTAGTTACCGTTGCCGTTATCGACGTCCCTTCTGTTTTCAACAGAAAAACGATCGCTTTTGCTCCGCTGACCTCTACGTTTTGCTAACTGCTGTATCATTCCAAGTGTTTCTTCTTCCAAGATGAATACAAGGCTTCACATTCAAGGTATTTAAGATCACAATTATTCCACTTAACAGTATTAAGATGTTAAATTAGACGTGAAATTGGTCGTTGTTAGGCAGCTGTATCGGGACTGAAGATGGCGGCCGCCATTTGCAATTGTCTTAACTGAACATTTTAGATGGTAAACTTGACATGTTAAACCTGTTCGTACATTATAGTGTCGGGCGATGTAGTACAGATGTAAGATAACCTGTATTACGTGAAAAGCAGCTGTTTGGCCCATTTTATTGGTTAAATGTCGTCTTGCAGCACAGCCTGTAACCCTACATACACTTGGAGTTCGAGGTGTCAAAGGGCCGAGGTCGAGTGACATACTGTAGCTGTCAGAAGTCGTAAATTGTGATTTTTTGAACGTAGCCGTCGGCGTACATTTAACTGAGCCTAGCTTTCGTTTTTCTTTTTCAGCTCGGGAGGACATAATTCGCTATTATGGCACTCCTGCGGCTGTGAGTTTGTGGCCGTCTCAGGATGAGGAGTCCGACTGTGTATGTATAAATTTACATGCCCACCCTGTAAATTCTTCCGTCTAGTATAGCTGATTTGTTGCACATTAAGTCTGCCAAAGTCCCTATAATAAACTGTGATTCGTTTTCTTTGCAAAAGTATCCCGTATTTCTGTCTGACCTGACTTCCTTTGTCCCTCCCTCCACCCCCTCGATGTGTAGCGTTCCCTGGCTGTGTCCCCTTCCCGTTGTCCCGACCCCCTGAGCGTCTTCACTCCGTTCTGGGCCCGCCCTGTCTACGGTGAGACGCTCCCCGCCCCCGTCACCATCAACCACGCTGATTACTATCCTGCCCCAAGTGACGATGATGACAGTGACTACTGGGTGTACGAGGACGAGGACGACCACAGCTTTGTGGATGACAGAGAGATTCATCCCTTTAGAAAGGCGCTGACGAGAGCGGCTGCCTTCTTTAGGAAGATCTTCTCTTAGACTCCTTTATCCTTTTAATGTCTGAATGTGTGCAAGTAAGTGAATGAATGAGCAGGTTTGTATGTATGTGTGCGTTTGTGTGAGAGTAAATATAAGATTGAATGAGCATGTGTGTGTGTGTGTGAGAGAGAGAGAGAGACAGAGAGAGAGAGAGACTGAATGAATATGTATGTTTGTGTGTGTGTATTGTGTGCGTGTAAGAGTAAATGAAAGATTGAATTATCATGTCTGTCTGTATGCATGTATGTGTGTATGTGTGTGTGAGTGTTTGTGTGTGAGTGTGAGAGAGTGAATGAGCATGTATGTATGATGTGTGTATGTATGTGTGAGAGGGAGAGTGTATATTGTGTATATATGTTAGAGATGTGAGCTGGAGTGAATGAACGAACCTACATGTATGTGTGTATTAGAGAGAGAGAGAGAGAGAGAGAGAGAGAGAGAGAGAGAGAGAGACTACCATTCCAGCGTATTTTTGGCGTATTTTTAGGCTCACAGTTTTGGCCCAACTTTCAGTTTCCTTTTGGCAAACCTCTTGGCTTATTAGGATGGCACAAGATCATACTTTCTATACAATTTTGGCCCGTTTTTGGATCTCCCTTGTGGCATATTACTTTCGACTTTCGGTCATCTGAAAAAATGTTTTATGTAATGTATACACAAGTTGTTTGTTTTCTCTACAGTGTTTCTTCCTTACAGCTAATAATATCTGGGTGACAGCAGCATCGCAATATTGGCATCTGCCCAAATCCCAGGGTTTACGAACATGAGACATAAATTCATATGGATATTGTTAAAAAGTGAATGTTGCCCCTATATTGCTGTGCTGCTGTGTCCCAGTTTCATGATCTGCACTTAGCAGAAGATTTCTAAGTAGGTGGGGTTACCTTAAGATCAGACACTTCTAAATGTTTATGTGGCGACAATTGTGACACGGGATATTCTCTGAGGACAGCTCTCTGACACTTTGTTATCTGGAATAAATTTTTTATTCCAATATAATAGCTCATCGTTTCTAATGTAACAATAACTGTGGCTTCCTTTTAAAGGAGTGCGAATGGAGAATTGCCTTCTCTAAAACACAAGTGTCGCCACATGGGATATATTACGAGCACTTCACCCAACTAATAGCAGTAGTCGGACAAGGGGTTGAGAGTGATCTCCCTTCGCCCCAGTCAATATTGGATTCCACTCGTCTCATCATTATGGCTTTACAGGAGTCGACCTCACTGCTGGTCCTTTGGCCCTCGGTCTTCAGATATTGCAGAGGGCATGCTTTTATACATAGGTCGAGGCCAGGCGCAAGAAGCAAGCCTATACTGACACCTACTCGTGTATATATATATGACGTAATATTCGTTTCTTGCATTCTACAAAAATACCTAAATAATACAAGGGGTCTGAATTCTACCCCTGTACGTCCACATCAGCGTTTTCAAAATGGGACGGTCAATAGGATTTCTCTGACTGTGAGTGTGTGGGTGGCTAGGATTTTTTCAGAAAATAAATATATTGTCTCCGAAATTGATTGAAAACTAATTATGCTTCCATCTGTTGGACAAAAAGAACATGTCAGCCACCAAAAATACGTTGTTGCAAGGTGGGATCTTGAAAAATGTTTTATTTAGGCTCATAATTTTAGCTGATTTTGCATTTGTAGCTGAAAAATATCTAGTCTCCATACAAAATCCAAGGTCGCCCACTCCCCCTTCCAACAGAACATGAAATGGTCGGCCCCTTAGGCCTAGTATAGTAATAACCAATATGCTTGTCATTTATCTTTCTCTCCTATTAGCAATTTTCTGTGGTCGTCGTTTTTCCAGATTAGAAATCAAACCAAATAAGAACTGTCGCTGCACACGTTGGTATTTACCAGTACCATTTAACTTTTATTTTATCCCTGTAGGCTAGGGAATAATTCCCCAATCCTACTTGGATTATCAGAGATGGGCATTCTTACTAGCCTGCTAGCCCGTGTCAGTCTGTCGAATGTAAAAGGTATTGTGAAGGCTGGTATAATAGAGGGTCGTTATATGGTATCGCTATTCGTCCTAGCAAACGTTTAAGGTTAATGTCTACAAGAGATGATCCATATAAAAGTGAACAAAATTCACCCTGTTTCGAGTAATGGAGGCAGGAAAAACAACCAGTTTCACCTGCACAATGTTTTCAAACTGATGTAGGCAACGTTTCAGTTGTAAGTTACAACTTAATCCCGGTGTTCAGACGAAATAAACCCGGCAGTTTCACCCTCGGCAATGCCATTAGGCTTGACCAGGCCGGAAGCTGGCGATGAGCCTCGTTCTGACTCCTCGAACTCCGTAACGTAGTTACCGTTGCCGTTATCGACGTCCCTTCTGTTTTCAACAGAAAAACGATCGCTTTTGCTCCGCTGACCTCTACGTTTTGCTAACTGCTGTATCATTCCAAGTGTTTCTTCTTCCAAGATGAATACAAGGCTTCACATTCAAGGTATTTAAGATCACAATTATTCCACTTAACAGTATTAAGATGTTAAATTAGACGTGAAATTGGTCGTTGTTAGGCAGCTGTATCGGGACTGAAGATGGCGGCCGCCATTTGCAATTGTCTTAACTGAACATTTTAGATGGTAAACTTGACATGTGGTGCTCAGATGAAACCTGTTCGTACATTATAGTGTCGGGCGATGTAGTACAGATGTAAGATAACCTGTATTACGTGAAAAGCAGCTGTTTGGCCCATTTTATTGGTTAAATGTCGTCTTGCAGCACAGCCTGTAACCCTACATACACTTGGAGTTCGAGGTGTCAAAGGGCCGAGGTCGAGTGACATACTGTAGCTGTCAGAAGTCGTAAATTGTGAATTTTTGAACGTAGCCGTCGGCGTACATTTAACTGAGCCTAGCTTTCGTTTTTCTTTTTCAGCTCGGGAGGACATAATTCGCTATTATGGCACTCCTGCGGCTGTGAGTTTGTGGCCGTCTCAGGATGAGGAGTCCGACTGTGTATGTATAAATTTACATGCCCACCCTGTAAATTCTTCCGTCTAGTATAGCTGATTTGTTGCACATTAAGTCTGCCCAGTCCCTATAATAAACTGTGATTCGTTTTCTTTGCAAAAGTATCCCGTATTTCTGTCTGACCTGACTTCCTTTGTCCCTCCCTCCACCCCCTCGATGTGTAGCGTTCCCTGGCTGTGTCCCCTTCCCGTTGTCCCGACCCCCTGAGCGTCTTCACTCCGTTCTGGGCCCGCCCTGTCTACGGTGAGACGCTCCCCGCCCCCGTCACCATCAACCACGCTGATTACTATCCTGCCCCAAGTGACGATGATGACAGTGACTACTGGGTGTACGAGGACGAGGACGACCACAGCTTTGTGGATGACAGAGAGATTCATCCCTTTAGAAAGGCGCTGACGAGAGCGGCTGCCTTCTTTAGGAAGATCTTCTCTTAGACTCCTTTATCCTTTTAATGTCTGAATGTGTGCAAGTAAGTGAATGAATGAGCAGGTTTGTATGTATGTGTGCGTTTGTGTGAGAGTAAATATAAGATTGAATGAGCATGTGTGTGTGTGTGTGAGAGAGAGAGAGAGACAGAGAGAGAGAGAGACTGAATGAATATGTATGTTTGTGTGTGTGTATTGTGTGCGTGTAAGAGTAAATGAAAGATTGAATTATCATGTCTGTCTGTATGCATGTATGTGTGTATGTGTGTGTGAGTGTTTGTGTGTGAGTGTGAGAGAGTGAATGAGCATGTATGTATGATGTGTGTATGTATGTGTGAGAGGGAGAGTGTATATTGTGTATATATGTTAGAGATGTGAGCTGGAGTGAATGAACGAACCTACATGTATGTGTGTATTAGAGAGAGAGAGAGAGAGAGAGAGAGAGAGAGAGAGAGAGAGAGAGAGACTACCATTCCAGCGTATTTTTGGCGTATTTTTAGGCTCACAGTTTTGGCCCAACTTTCAGTTTCCTTTTGGCAAACCTCTTGGCTTATTAGGATGGCACAAGATCATACTTTCTATACAATTTTGGCCCGTTTTTGGATCTCCCTTGTGGCATATTACTTTCGACTTTCGGTCATCTGAATAAATGTTTTATGTAATGTATACACAAGTTGTTTGTTTTCTCTACAGTGTTTCTTCCTTACAGCTAATAATATCTGGGTGACAGCAGCATCGCAATATTGGCATCTGCCCAAATCCCAGGGTTTACGAACATGAGACATAAATTCATATGGATATTGTTAAAAAGTGAATGTTGCCCCTATATTGCTGTGCTGCTGTGTCCCAGTTTCATGATCTGCACTTAGCAGAAGATTTCTAAGTAGGTGGGGTTACCTTAAGATCAGACACTTCTAAATGTTTATGTGGCGACAATTGTGACACGGGATATTCTCTGAGGACAGCTCTCTGACACTTTGTTATCTGGAATAAATTTTTTATTCCAATATAATAGCTCATCGTTTCTAATGTAACAATAACTGTGGCTTCCTTTTAAAGGAGTGCGAATGGAGAATTGCCTTCTCTAAAACACAAGTGTCGCCACATGGGATATATTACGAGCACTTCACCCAACTAATAGCAGTAGTCGGACAAGGGGTTGAGAGTGATCTCCCTTCGCCCCAGTCAATATTGGATTCCACTCGTCTCATCATTATGGCTTTACAGGAGTCGACCTCACTGCTGGTCCTTTGGCCCTCGGTCTTCAGATATTGCAGAGGGCATGCTTTTATACATAGGTCGAGGCCAGGCGCAAGAAGCAAGCCTATACTGACACCTACTCGTATGCAAGAGTAGATTGATGTATATATATATGACGTAATATTCGTTTCTTGCATTCTACAAAAATACCTAAATAATACAAGGGGTCTGAATTCTACCCCTGTACGTCCACATCAGCGTTTTCAAAATGGGACGGTCAATAGGATTTCTCTGACTGTGAGTGTGTGGGTGGCTAGGATTTTTTCAGAAAATAAATATATTGTCTCCGAAATTGATTGAAAACTAATTATGCTTCCATCTGTTGGACAAAAAGAACATGTCAGCCACCAAAAATACGTTGTTGCAAGGTGGGATTTTGAAAAATGTTTTATTTAGGCTCATAATTTTAGCTGATTTTGCATTTGTAGCTGAAAAATATCTAGTCTCCATACAAAATCCAAGGTCGCCCACTCCCCCTTCCAACAGAACATGAAATGGTCGGCCCCTTAGGCCTAGTATAGTAATAACCAATATGCTTGTCATTTATCTTTCTCTCCTATTAGCAATTTTCTGTGGTCGTCGTTTTTCCAGATTAGAAATCAAACCAAATAAGAACTGTCGCTGCACACGTTGGTATTTACCAGTACCATTTAACTTTTATTTTATCCCTGTAGGCTAGGGAATAATTCCCCAATCCTACTTGGATTATCAGAGATGGGCATTCTTACTAGCCTGCTAGCCCGTGTCAGTCTGTCGAATGTAAAAGGTATTGTGAAGGCTGGTATAATAGAGGGTCGTTATATGGTATCGCTATTCGTCCTAGCAAACGTTTAAGGTTAATGTCTACAAGAGATGATCCATATAAAAGTGAACAAAATTCACCCTGTTTCGAGTAATGGAGGCACGAAAAACAACCAGTTTCACCTGCACAATGTTTTCAAACTGATGTAGGCAACGTTTCAGTTGTAAGTTACAACTTAATCCCGGTGTTCAGACGAAATAAACCCGGCAGTTTCACCCTCGGCAATGCCATTAGGCTTGACCAGGCCGGAAGCTGGCGATGAGCCTCGTTCTGACTCCTCGAACTCCGTAACGTAGTTACCGTTGCCGTTATCGACGTCCCTTCTGTTTTCAACAGAAAAACGATCGCTTTTGCTCCGCTGACCTCTACGTTTTGCTAACTGCTGTATCATTCCAAGTGTTTCTTCTTCCAAGATGAATACAAGGCTTCACATTCAAGGTATTTAAGATCACAATTATTCCACTTAACAGTATTAAGATGTTAAATTAGACGTGAAATTGGTCGTTGTTAGGCAGCTGTATCGGGACTGAAGATGGCGGCCGCCATTTGCAATTGTCTTAACTGAACATTTTAGATGGTAAACTTGACATGTGGTGCTCAGATGAAACCTGTTCGTACATTATAGTGTCGGGCGATGTAGTACAGATGTAAGATAACCTGTATTACGTGAAAAGCAGCTGTTTGGCCCATTTTATTGGTTAAATGTCGTCTTGCAGCACAGCCTGTAACCCTACATACACTTGGAGTTCGAGGTGTCAAAGGGCCGAGGTCGAGTGACATACTGTAGCTGTCAGAAGTCGTAAATTGTGAATTTTTGAACGTAGCCGTCGGCGTACATTTAACTGAGCCTAGCTTTCGTTTTTCTTTTTCAGCTCGGGAGGACATAATTCGCTATTATGGCACTCCTGCGGCTGTGAGTTTGTGGCCGTCTCAGGATGAGGAGTCCGACTGTGTATGTATAAATTTACATGCCCACCCTGTAAATTCTTCCGTCTAGTATAGCTGATTTGTTGCACATTAAGTCTGCCCAGTCCCTATAATAAACTGTGATTCGTTTTCTTTGCAAAAGTATCCCGTATTTCTGTCTGACCTGACTTCCTTTGTCCCTCCCTCCACCCCCTCGATGTGTAGCGTTCCCTGGCTGTGTCCCCTTCCCGTTGTCCCGACCCCCTGAGCGTCTTCACTCCGTTCTGGGCCCGCCCTGTCTACGGTGAGACGCTCCCCGCCCCCGTCACCATCAACCACGCTGATTACTATCCTGCCCCAAGTGACGATGATGACAGTGACTACTGGGTGTACGAGGACGAGGACGACCACAGCTTTGTGGATGACAGAGAGATTCATCCCTTTAGAAAGGCGCTGACGAGAGCGGCTGCCTTCTTTAGGAAGATCTTCTCTTAGACTCCTTTATCCTTTTAATGTCTGAATGTGTGCAAGTAAGTGAATGAATGAGCAGGTTTGTATGTATGTGTGCGTTTGTGTGAGAGTAAATATAAGATTGAATGAGCATGTGTGTGTGTGTGTGAGAGAGAGAGAGAGACAGAGAGAGAGAGAGACTGAATGAATATGTATGTTTGTGTGTGTGTATTGTGTGCGTGTAAGAGTAAATGAAAGATTGAATTATCATGTCTGTCTGTATGCATGTATGTGTGTATGTGTGTGTGAGTGTTTGTGTGTGAGTGTGAGAGAGTGAATGAGCATGTATGTATGATGTGTGTATGTATGTGTGAGAGAGAGTGTGTATATTGTGTATATATGTTAGAGATGTGAGCTGGAGTGAATGAACGAACCTACATGTATGTGTGTATTAGAGAGAGAGAGAGAGAGAGAGAGAGAGAGAGAGAGAGAGAGAGAGAGAGAGAGAGAGAGAGAGAGAGAGAGAGAGAGAGAGAGAGAGAGAGAGTGAGAGAGACTACCATTCCAGCGTATTTTTGGCGTATTTTTAGGCTCACAGTTTTGGCCCAACTTTCAGTTTCCTTTTGGCAAACCTCTTGGCTTATTAGGATGGCACAAGATCATACTTTCTATACAATTTTGGCCCGTTTTTGGATCTCCCTTGTGGCATATTACTTTCGACTTTCGGTCATCTGAATAAATGTTTTATGTAATGTATACACAAGTTGTTTGTTTTCTCTACAGTGTTTCTTCCTTACAGCTAATAATATCTGGGTGACAGCAGCATCGCAATATTGGCATCTGCCCAAATCCCAGGGTTTACGAACATGAGACATAAATTCATATGGATATTGTTAAAAAGTGAATGTTGCCCCTATATTGCTGTGCTGCTGTGTCCCAGTTTCATGATCTGCACTTAGCAGAAGATTTCTAAGTAGGTGGGGTTACCTTAAGATCAGACACTTCTAAATGTTTATGTGGCGACAATTGTGACACGGGATATTCTCTGAGGACAGCTCTCTGACACTTTGTTATCTGGAATAAATTTTTTATTCCAATATAATAGCTCATCGTTTCTAATGTAACAATAACTGTGGCTTCCTTTTAAAGGAGTGCGAATGGAGAATTGCCTTCTCTAAAACACAAGTGTCGCCACATGGGATATATTACGAGCACTTCACCCAACTAATAGCAGTAGTCGGACAAGGGGTTGAGAGTGATCTCCCTTCGCCCAAGTCAATATTGGATTCCACTCGTCTCATCATTATGGCTTTACAGGAGTCGACCTCACTGCTGGTCCTTTGGCCCGTGGTCTTCAGATATTGCAGAGGGCATGCTTTTATACATAGGCCGAGGCCAGGCGCAAGAAGCAAGCCTATACTGACACCTACTCGTATGCAAGAGTAGATTGATGTATATATATATGACGTAATATTCGTTTCTTGCATTCTACAAAAATACCTAAATAATACAAGGGGTCTGAATTCTACCCCTGTACGTCCACATCAGCGTTTTCAAAATGGGACGGTCAATAGGATTTCTCTGACTGTGAGTGTGTGGGTGGCTAGGATTTTTTCAGAAAATAAATATATTGTCTCCGAAATTGATTGAAAACTAATTATGCTTCCATCTGTTGGACAAAAAGAACATGTCAGCCACCAAAAATACGTTGTTGCAAGGTGGGATTTTGAAAAATGTTTTATTTAGGCTCATAATTTTAGCTGATTTTGCATTTGTAGCTGAAAAATATCTAGTCTCCATACAAAATCCAAGGTCGCCCACTCCCCCTTCCAACAGAACATGAAATGGTCGGCCCCTTAGGCCTAGTATAGTAATAACCAATATGCTTGTCATTTATCTTTCTCTCCTATTAGCAATTTTCTGTGGTCGTCGTTTTTCCAGATTAGAAATCAAACCAAATAAGAACTGTCGCTGCACACGTTGGTATTTACCAGTACCATTTAACTTTTATTTTATCCCTGTAGGCTAGGGAATAATTCCCCAATCCTACTTGGATTATCAGAGATGGGCATTCTTACTAGCCTGCTAGCCCGTGTCAGTCTGTCGAATGTAAAAGGTATTGTGAAGGCTGGTATAATAGAGGGTCGTTATATGGTATCGCTATTCGTCCTAGCAAACGTTTAAGGTTAATGTCTACAAGAGATGATCCATATAAAAGTGAACAAAATTCACCCTGTTTCGAGTAATGGAGGCACGAAAAACAACCAGTTTCACCTGCACAATGTTTTCAAACTGATGTAGGCAACGCTTCAGTTGTAAGTTACAACTTAATCCCGGTGTTCAGACGAAATAAACCCGGCAGTTTCACCCTCGGCAATGCCATTAGGCTTGACCAGGCCGGAAGCTGGCGATGAGCCTCGTTCTGACTCCTCGAACTCCGTAACGTAGTTACCGTTGCCGTTATCGACGTCCCTTCTGTTTTCAACAGAAAAACGATCGCTTTTGCTCCGCTGACCTCTACGTTTTGCTAACTGCTGTATCATTCCAAGTGTTTCTTCTTCCAAGATGAATACAAGGCTTCACATTCAAGGTATTTAAGATCACAATTATTCCACTTAACAGTATTAAGATGTTAAATTAGACGTGAAATTGGTCGTTGTTAGGCAGCTGTATCGGGACTGAAGATGGCGGCCGCCATTTGCAATTGTCTTAACTGAACATTTTAGATGGTAAACTTGACATGTGGTGCTCAGATGAAACCTGTTCGTACATTATAGTGTCGGGCGATGTAGTACAGATGTAAGATAACCTGTATTACGTGAAAAGCAGCTGTTTGGCCCATTTTATTGGTTAAATGTCGTCTTGCAGCACAGCCTGTAACCCTACATACACTTGGAGTTCGAGGTGTCAAAGGGCCGAGGTCGAGTGACATACTGTAGCTGTCAGAAGTCGTAAATTGTGATTTTTTGAACGTAGCCGTCGGCGTACATTTAACTGAGCCTAGCTTTCGTTTTTCTTTTTCAGCTCGGGAGGACATAATTCGCTATTATGGCACTCCTGCGGCTGTGAGTTTGTGGCCGTCTCAGGATGAGGAGTCCGACTGTGTATGTATAAATTTACATGCCCACCCTGTAAATTCTTCCGTCTAGTATAGCTGATTTGTTGCACATTAAGTCTGCCCAGTCCCTATAATAAACTGTGATTCGTTTTCTTTGCAAAAGTATCCCGTATTTCTGTCTGACCTGACTTCCTTTGTCCCTCCCTCCACCCCCTCGATGTGTAGCGTTCCCTGGCTGTGTCCCCTTCCCGTTGTCCCGACCCCCTGAGCGTCTTCACTCCGTTCTGGGCCCGCCCTGTCTACGGTGAGACGCTCCCCGCCCCCGTCACCATCAACCACGCTGATTACTATCCTGCCCCAAGTGACGATGATGACAGTGACTACTGGGTGTACGAGGACGAGGACGACCACAGCTTTGTGGATGACAGAGAGATTCATCCCTTTAGAAAGGCGCTGACGAGAGCGGCTGCCTTCTTTAGGAAGATCTTCTCTTAGACTCCTTTATCCTTTTAATGTCTGAATGTGTGCAAGTAAGTGAATGAATGAGCAGGTTTGTATGTATGTGTGCGTTTGTGTGAGAGTAAATATAAGATTGAATGAGCATGTGTGTGTGTGTGTGAGAGAGAGAGAGAGACAGAGAGAGAGAGAGACTGAATGAATATGTATGTTTGTGTGTGTGTATTGTGTGCGTGTAAGAGTAAATGAAAGATTGAATTATCATGTCTGTCTGTATGCATGTATGTGTGTATGTGTGTGTGAGTGTTTGTGTGTGAGTGTGAGAGAGTGAATGAGCATGTATGTATGATGTGTGTATGTATGTGTGAGAGAGAGTGTGTATATTGTGTATATATGTTAGAGATGTGAGCTGGAGTGAATGAACGAACCTACATGTATGTGTGTATTAGAGAGAGAGAGAGAGAGAGAGAGAGAGAGAGAGAGAGAGAGAGAGAGAGAGAGAGAGAGAGAGAGAGAGAGAGAGAGAGAGAGAGAGAGAGAGTGAGAGAGACTACCATTCCAGCGTATTTTTGGCGTATTTTTAGGCTCACAGTTTTGGCCCAACTTTCAGTTTCCTTTTGGCAAACCTCTTGGCTTATTAGGATGGCACAAGATCATACTTTCTATACAATTTTGGCCCGTTTTTGGATCTCCCTTGTGGCATATTACTTTCGACTTTCGGTCATCTGAATAAATGTTTTATGTAATGTATACACAAGTTGTTTGTTTTCTCTACAGTGTTTCTTCCTTACAGCTAATAATATCTGGGTGACAGCAGCATCGCAATATTGGCATCTGCCCAAATCCCAGGGTTTACGAACATGAGACATAAATTCATATGGATATTGTTAAAAAGTGAATGTTGCCCCTATATTGCTGTGCTGCTGTGTCCCAGTTTCATGATCTGCACTTAGCAGAAGATTTCTAAGTAGGTGGGGTTACCTTAAGATCAGACACTTCTAAATGTTTATGTGGCGACAATTGTGACACGGGATATTCTCTGAGGACAGCTCTCTGACACTTTGTTATCTGGAATAAATTTTTTATTCCAATATAATAGCTCATCGTTTCTAATGTAACAATAACTGTGGCTTCCTTTTAAAGGAGTGCGAATGGAGAATTGCCTTCTCTAAAACACAAGTGTCGCCACATGGGATATATTACGAGCACTTCACCCCAACTAATAGCAGTAGTCGGACAAGGGGTTGAGAGTGATCTCCCTTCGCCCAAGTCAATATTGGATTCCACTCGTCTCATCATTATGGCTTTACAGGAGTCGACCTCACTGCTGGTCCTTTGGCCCGTGGTCTTCAGATATTGCAGAGGGCATGCTTTTATACATAGGCCGAGGCCAGGCGCAAGAAGCAAGCCTATACTGACACCTACTCGTATGCAAGAGTAGATTGATGTATATATATATGACGTAATATTCGTTTCTTGCATTCTACAAAAATACCTAAATAATACAAGGGGTCTGAATTCTACCCCTGTACGTCCACATCAGCGTTTTCAAAATGGGACGGTCAATAGGATTTCTCTGACTGTGAGTGTGTGGGTGGCTAGGATTTTTTCAGAAAATAAATATATTGTCTCCGAAATTGATTGAAAACTAATTATGCTTCCATCTGTTGGACAAAAAGAACATGTCAGCCACCAAAAATACGTTGTTGCAAGGTGGGATTTTGAAAAATGTTTTATTTAGGCTCATAATTTTAGCTGATTTTGCATTTGTAGCTGAAAAATATCTAGTCTCCATACAAAATCCAAGGTCGCCCACTCCCCCTTCCAACAGAACATGAAATGGTCGGCCCCTTAGGCCTAGTATAGTAATAACCAATATGCTTGTCATTTATCTTTCTCTCCTATTAGCAATTTTCTGTGGTCGTCGTTTTTCCAGATTAGAAATCAAACCAAATAAGAACTGTCGCTGCACACGTTGGTATTTACCAGTACCATTTAACTTTTATTTTATCCCTGTAGGCTAGGGAATAATTCCCCCAATCCTACTTGGATTATCAGAGATGGGCATTCTTACTAGCCTGCTAGCCCGTGTCAGTCTGTCGAATGTAAAAGGTATTGTGAAGGCTGGTATAATAGAGGGTCGTTATATGGTATCGCTATTCGTCCTAGCAAACGTTTAAGGTTAATGTCTACAAGAGATGATCCATATAAAAGTGAACAAAATTCACCCTGTTTCGAGTAATGGAGGGCACGAAAAACAACCAGTTTCACCTGCACAATGTTTTCAAACTGATGTAGGCAACGCTTCAGTTGTAAGTTACAACTTAATCCCGGTGTTCAGACGAAATAAACCCGGCAGTTTCACCCTCGGCAATGCCATTAGGCTTGACCAGGCCGGAAGCTGGCGATGAGCCTCGTTCTGACTCCTCGAACTCCGTAACGTAGTTACCGTTGCCGTTATCGACGTCCCTTCTGTTTTCAACAGAAAAACGATCGCTTTTGCTCCGCTGACCTCTACGTTTTGCTAACTGCTGTATCATTCCAAGTGTTTTCTTCTTCCAAGATGAATACAAGGCTTCACATTCAAGGTATTTAAGATCACAATTATTCCACTTAACAGTATTAAGATGTTAAATTAGACGTGAAATTGGTCGTTGTTAGGCAGCTGTATCGGGACTGAAGATGGCGGCCGCCATTTGCAATTGTCTTAACTGAACATTTTAGATGGTAAACTTGACATGTGGTGCTCAGATGAAACCTGTTCGTACATTATAGTGTCGGGCGATGTAGTACAGATGTAAGATAACCTGTATTACGTGAAAAGCAGCTGTTTGGCCCATTTTATTGGTTAAATGTCGTCTTGCAGCACAGCCTGTAACCCCTACATACACTTGGAGTTCGAGGTGTCAAAGGGCCGAGGTCGAGTGACATACTGTAGCTGTCAGAAGTCGTAAATTGTGATTTTTTGAACGTAGCCGTCGGCGTACATTTAACTGAGCCTAGCTTTCGTTTTTCTTTTTCAGCTCGGGAGGACATAATTCGCTATTATGGCACTCCTGCGGCTGTGAGTTTGTGGCCGTCTCAGGATGAGGAGTCCGACTGTGTATGTATAAATTTACATGCCCACCCTGTAAATTCTTCCGTCTAGTATAGCTGATTTGTTGCACATTAAGTCTGCCCAGTCCCTATAATAAACTGTGATTCGTTTCTTTGCAAAAGTATCCCGTATTTCTGTCTGACCTGACTTCCTTTGTCCCTCCCTCCACCCCCTCGATGTGTAGCGTTCCCTGGCTGTGTCCCCCTTCCCGTTGTCCCGACCCCCTGAGCGTCTTCACTCCGTTCTGGGCCCGCCTGTCTACGGTGAGACGCTCCCCGCCCCCGTCACCATCAACCACGCTGATTACTATCCTGCCCCAAGTGACGATGATGACAGTGACTACTGGGTGTACGAGGACGAGGACGACCACAGCTTTGTGGATGACAGAGAGATTCATCCCTTTAGAAAGGCGCTGACGAGAGCGGCTGCCTTCTTTAGGAAGATCTTCTCTTAGACTCCTTTATCCTTTTAATGTCTGAATGTGTGCAAGTAAGTGAATGAATGAGCAGGTTTGTATGTATGTGTGCGTTTGTGTGAGAGTAAATATAAGATTGAATGAGCATGTGTGTGTGTGTGTGTGAGAGAGAGAGAGACAGAGAGAGAGAGAGAGAGACTGAATGAATATGTATGTTTGTGTGTGTGTATTGTGTGCGTGTAAGAGTAAATGAAAGATTGAATTATCATGTCTGTCTGTATGCATGTATGTGTGTATGTGTGTGTGAGTGTTTGTGTGTGAGTGTGAGAGAGTGAATGAGCATGTATGTATGATGTGTGTATGTATGTGTGAGAGGTGAGAGTGTATATTGTGTATATATGTTAGAGATGTGAGCTGGAGTGAATGAACGAACCTACATGTATGTGTGTATTAGAGAGAGAGAGAGAGAGAGAGAGAGAGAGAGAGAGAGAGAGAGAGAGAGAGAGAGAGGAGAGAGAGAGACCTACCATTCCAGCGTATTTTTGGCGTATTTTTAGGCTCACAGTTTTGGCCCAACTTTCAGTTTCCTTTTGGCAAACCTCTTGGCTTATTAGGATGGCACAAGATCATACTTTCTATACAATTTTGGCCCGTTTTTGGATCTCCCTTGTGGCATATTACTTTCGACTTTCGGTCATCTGAATAAATGTTTTATGTAATGTATACACAAGTTGTTTGTTTTCTCTACAGTGTTTCTTCCTTACAGCTAATAATATCTGGGTGACAGCAGCATCGCAATATTGGCATCTGCCCAAATCCCAGGGTTTTACGAACATGAGACATAAATTCATATGGATATTGTTAAAAAGTGAATGTTGCCCCTATATTGCTGTGCTGCTGTGTCCCCAGTTTCATGATCTGCACTTAGCAGAAGATTTCTAAGTAGGTGGGGTTACCTTAAGATCAGACACCTTCTAAATGTTTATGTGGCGACAATTGTGACACGGGATATTCTCTGAGGACAGCTCTCTGACACTTTGTTATCTGGAATAAATTTTTTATTCCAATATAATAGCTCATCGTTTCTAATGTAACAATAACTGTGGGCTTCCTTTTAAAGGAGTGCGAATGGAGAATTGCCTTCTCTAAAACACAAGTGTCGCCACATGGGATATATTACGAGCACTTCACCCAACTAATAGCAGTAGTCGGACAAGGGGTTGAGAGTGATCTCCCTTCGCCCCAGTCAATATTGGATTCCACTCGTCTCATCATTATGCTTTACAGGAGTCGACCTCACTGCTGGTCCTTTGGCCCTCGGTCTTCAGATATTGCAGAGGGCATGCTTTTATACATAGGTCGAGGCCAGGCGCAAGAAGCAAGCCTATACTTGACACCTACTCGTATGCAAGAGTAGATTGATGTATATATATATGACGTAATATTCGTTTCTTGCATTCTACAAAAATACCTAAATAATACAAGGGGTCTGAATTCTACCCCTGTACGTCCACATCAGCGTTTTCAAAATGGGACGGTCAATAGGATTTCTCTGACTGTGAGTGTGTGGGGTGGCTAGGATTTTTTTCAGAAAATAAATATATTGTCTCCGAAATTGATTGAAAACTAATTATGCTTCCATCTGTTGGACAAAAAGAACATGTCAGCCACCAAAAATACGTTGTTGCAAGGTGGGATTTTGAAAAATGTTTTATTTAGGCTCATAATTTTTAGCTGATTTTGCATTTGTAGCTGAAAAATATCTAGTCTCCATACAAAATCCAAGGTCGCCCACTCCCCCTTCCAACAGAACATGAAAATGGTCGGCCCCCTTAGGCCTAGTATAGTAATAACCAATATGCTTGTCATTTATCTTTCTCTCCTATTAGCAATTTTCTGTGGTCGTCGTTTTCCAGATTAGAAATCAAACCAAATAAGAACTGTCGCTGCACACGTTGGTATTTACCAGTACCATTTAACTTTTATTTTATCCCTGTAGGCTAGGGAATAATTCCCCAATCCTACTTGGATTATCAGAGATGGGCATTCTTACTAGCCTGCTAGCCCGTGTCAGTCTGTCGAATGTAAAAGGTATTGTGAAGGCTGGTATAATAGAGGGTCGTTATATGGTATCGCTATTCGTCCTAGCAAACGTTTAAGGTTAATGTCTACAAGAGATGATCCATATAAAAGTGAACAAAATTCACCCTGTTTCGAGTAATGGAGGCACGAAAAACAACCAGTTTCACCTGCACAATGTTTTTTCAAACTGATGTAGGCAACGTTTCAGTTGTAAGTTACAACTTAATCCCGGTGTTCAGGACGAAAATAAACCCGGCAGTTTCCACCCTCGGCAATGCCATTAGGCTTGACCAGGCCGGAAGCTGCGATGAGCCTCGTTCTGACTCCTCGAACTCCGTAACGTAGTTACCGTTGCCGTTATCGACGTCCCTTCTGTTTTCAACAGAAAAACGATCGCTTTTGCTCCGCTGACCTCTACGTTTTGCTAACTGCTGTATCATTCCAAGTGTTTCTTCTTCCAAGATGAATACAAGGCTTCACATTCAAGGTATTTAAGATCACAATTATTCCACTTAACAGTATTAAGATGTTAAATTAGACGTGAAATTGGTCGTTGTTAGGCAGCTGTATCGGGACTGAAGATGGCGGCCGCCATTTGCAATTGTCTTAACTGAACATTTTAGATGGTAAACTTGACATGTGGTGCTCAGATGAAACCTGTTCGTACATTATAGTGTCGGGCGATGTAGTACAGATGTAAGATAACCTGTATTACGTGAAAAGCAGCTGTTTGGCCCATTTTATTGGTTAAATGTCGTCTTGCAGCACAGCCTGGTAACCCTACATACACTTGGAGTTCGAGGTGTCAAAGGGCCGAGGTCGAGTGACATACTGTAGCTGTCAGAAGTCGTAAATTGTGATTTTTTGAACGTAGCCGTCGGCGTACATTAACTGAGCCTAGCTTTCGTTTTTCTTTTTCAGCTCGGGAGGACATAATTCGCTATTATGGCACTCCTGCGGCTGTGAGTTTGTGGCCGTCTCAGGATGAGGAGTCCGACTGTGTATGTATAAATTTACATGCCCACCCTGTAAATTCTTCCGTCTAGGTATAGCTGATTTGTTGCACATTAAGTCTGCCAAGTCCCTATAATAAACTGTGATTCGTTTTCTTTGCAAAAGTATCCCGTATTTCTGTCTGGACCTGACTTCCTTTGTTCCCTCCCTCCACCCCCTCGATGTGTAGCGTTCCCTGGCTGTGTCCCCTTCCCGTTGGTCCCGACCCCCTGAGCGTCTTCACTCCGTTCTGGGCCCGCCCTGTCTACGGTGAGACGCTCCCCGCCCCCGTCACCATCAACCACGCTGATTACTATCCTGCCCCCAAGTGACGATGATGACAGTGACTACTGGGTGTACGAGGGACGAGGACGACCACAGCTTTTGTGGATGACAGAGAGATTCATCCCTTTAGAAAGGCGCTGACCGAGAGCGGCTGCCTTCTTTAGGAAGATCTTCTCTTAGACTCCTTTATCCTTTTAATGTCTGAATGTGTGCAAGTAAGTGAATGAATGAGCAGGTTTGTATGTATGTGTGCGTTTGTGTGAGAGTAAATATAAGATTGAATGAGCATGTGTGTGTGTGTGTGAGAGAGAGAGAGAGAGACAGAGAGAGAGAGAGACTGAATGAATATGTATGTTTGTGTGTGTGTATTGTGTGCGTGTAAGAAGTAAATGAAAGATTGAATTATCATGTCCTGTCTGTATGCATGTATGTGTGTATGTGTGTGTGAGTGTTTGTGTGTGAGTGTGAGAGAGTGAATGAGCATGTATGTATGATGTGTGTATGTATGTGTGAGAAGGGAGAGTGTATATTGTGTATATATGTTAGAGATGTGAGCTGGAGTGAATGAACGAACCTACATGTATGTGTGTATTAGAGAGAGAGAGAGAGAGAGAGAGAGAGAAGAGAGAGAGAGAGAGAGGTAGAGAGAAGAGAGAGAAGAGAGAGAGACGAGAGAGAGAGAGAGAGACTACCATTCCAGCGTATTTTTGGCGTATTTTTAGGCTCACAGTTTTGGCCCAACTTTCAGTTTCCTTTTGGCAAACCTCTTGGCTTATTAGGATGGCACAAGATCATACTTTCTATACAATTTTGGCCCGTTTTTGGGATCCTCCCTTGTGGCATATTACTTTCGACTTTCGGTCATCTGAATAAATGTTTTATGTAATGTATACACAAGTTGTTTGTTTTCTCTACAGTGTTTCTTCCTTACAGCTAATAATATCTGGGTGACAGCAGCATCGGCAATATTGGCATCTGCCCAAATCCCAGGGTTTACGAACATGAGAACATAAATTCATATGGATATTGTTAAAAAGTGAATGTTGCCCCTATATTGCTGTGCTGCTGTGTCCCAGTTTCATGATCTGCACTTAGCAGAAGATTTCTAAGTAGGTGGGGTTTACCTTAAGATCAGACACTTCTAAATGTTTATGTGGCGACAATTGTGACACGGGATATTCTCTGAGGACAGCTCTCTGACACTTTGTTATCCTGGAATAAATTTTTTATTCCAATATAATAGCTCATCGTTTCTAATGTAACAATAACTGTGGCTTCCTTTAAAGGAGTGCGGAATGGAGAATTGCCTTCTCTTAAAACACAAGTGCCGCCACATGGGATATATTACGAGCACTTCACCCAACTAATAGCAGTAGTCGGACAAGGGGGTTGAGAGTGATCTCCCTTCGCCCCAGTCAATATTAGATTCCACTCGTCTCATCATTATGGCTTTACAGGAGTCGACCTCACTGCTGGTCCTTTGGCCCTCGGTCTTCAGATATTGCAGAGGGCATGCTTTTATACATAGGTCGAGGCCAGGCGCAAGAAGCAAGCCTATACTGACACCTACTCGTATGCAAGAGTAGATTGATGTATATATATATGACGTAATATTCGTTTCTTGCATTCTACAAAAATACCTAAATAATACAAGGGGTCTGAATTCTACCCCTGTACGTCCACATCAGCGTTTTCAAAATGGGACGGTCATAGGATTTCTCTGACTGGTGAGTGTGTGGGTGGCTAGGATTTTTTTTCAGAAAATAAATATATTGTCTCCGAAATTGATTGAAAACTAATTATGCTTCCATCTGTTGGACAAAAAGACATGTCAGCCACCAAAAATACGTTGTTGCAAGGTGGGATTTTGAAAAATGTTTTATTTAGGCTCATAATTTTAGCTGATTTTGCATTTGTAGCTGAAAAATATCTAGTCTCCATACAAACATCCAAGGTCGCCCACTCCCCCTTCCAACAGAACATGAAATGGTCGGCCCCTTAGGCCTAGTATAGTAGATAACCAATATGCTTGTCATTTATCTTTCTCTCCTATTAGCAATTTTCTGTGGTCGTCGTTTTTTCCAGATTAGAAATCAAACCAAATAAGAACTGTCGCTGCACACGTTGGTATTTACCAGTACCATTTAACTTTTATTTTATCCCTGTAGGCTAGGGAATAATCCCCAATCCTACTTGGATTATCAGAGATGGGCATTCTTACTAGCCTGCTAGCCCGTGTCAGTCTGTCGAATGTAAAAGGTATTGTGAAGGCTGGTATAATAGAGGGTCGTTATATGGTATCGCTATTCGTCCTAGCAAACGTTTAAGGTTAATGTCTACAAGAGATGATCCATATAAAAGTGAACAAATTCACCCTGTTTCGAGTAATGGAGGCAGGAAAAACAACCAGTTTCAACCTGCACAATGTTTTCAAACTGATGTAGGCAACGTTTCAGTTGTAAGTTACAACTTAATCCGGTGTTCAGACGAAATAAACCCGGCAGTTTCACCCTCGGCAATGCCATTAGGCTTGACCAGGCCGGAAGCTGGCGATGAGCCTCGTTCTGACTCCCTCGAACTCCGTAACGTAGTTACCGTTGCCGTTATCGACGTCCCTTCTGTTTTCAACAGAAAAACGATCGCTTTTGCTCCGCTGACCTCTACGTTTTGCTAACTGCTGTATCATTCCAAGTGTTTCTTCTTCCAAGATGAATACAAGGCTTCACATTCAAGGTAATTTAAGATCACAATTATTCCACTTAACAGTATTAAGGATGTTAAATTAGACGTGAAATTGGTCGTTGTTAGGCAGCTGTATCGGGACTGAAGATGGCGGCCGCCATTTGCAATTGTCTTAAACTGAACATTTTTAGATTGTAAACTTGACATGTGGTGCTCAGATGAAACCTGTTCGTACATTATAGTGTCGGGCGATGTAGTACAGATGTAAGATAACCTGTATTAACGTGAAAAGCAGCTGTTTGGCCCATTTTATTGGTTAAATGTCGTCTTGCAGCACAGCCTGTAACCCCTACATACACTTGGAGTTCGAGGTGTCAAAGGCCGAGGTCGAGTGACATACTGTAGCTGTCAGAAGTCGTAAATTGTGATTTTTTGAACGTAGCCGTCGGCGTACATTTAACTGAGCCTAGCTTTCGTTTTTCTTTTTCAGCTCGGGAGGACATAATTCGCTATTATGGCACTCCTGCGGCTGTGAGTTTGTGGCCGTCTCAGGATGAGGAGTCCGACTGTGTATGTATAAATTTACATGCCCACCCTGTAAATTCTTCCGTCTAGTATAGCTGATTTGTTGCACATTAAGTCTGCCCAGTCCCTATAATAAACTGTGATTCGTTTTCTTTGCAAAAGTATCCCGTATTTCTGTCTGACCTGACTTCCTTTGTCCCTCCCTCCACCCCCCTCGATGTGTAGCGTTCCCTGGCTGTGTCCCCTTCCCGTTGTCCCGACCCCCTGAGCGTCTTCACTCCGTTCTGGGCCCGCCCTGTCTACGGTGAGACGCTCCCCGCCCCCGTCACCATCAACCACGCTGATTACTATCCTGCCCCAAGTGACGATGATGACAGTGACTACTGGGTGTACGAGGGACGAGGACGACCCACAGCTTTGTGGATGACAGAGAGATTCATCCCTTTAGAAAGGCGCTGACGAGGAGGCGGCTGCCTTCTTTAGGAAGATCTTCTCTTAGACTCCTTTATCCTTTTAATGTCTGAATGTGTGCAAGTAAGTGAAATGAATGAGCAGGTTTGTATGTATGTGTGCGTTTTGTGTGAGAGTAAATATAAGATTGAATGAGCATGTGTGTGTGTGTGTGGTGAGAGAGAGGAGAGACACAGAGAGAGAGAGACTGAATGAATATGTATGTTTGTGTGGTGTGTATTGTGTGCGTGTTAAGAGTAAATGA